AACAGGTCTGTATGTGAGAACTGCAGTGCTTGCTGGGGGATATTTACTTCATAAGCCAGTGAATGAAGTGGAAAGGATAAATCACAACTAGGACACTCAAACCAGCAACCAATATAATGCTCTTCTACTGTGTCCTCCCACCAGAAAAACCTATACTGACCTCTTTATTTAAATTTTCTGTGGACACGGAACAGCTCTGAAAATTTTACAGTTGTTGATTGGGGGTACAAAGAAAATTAATGCAGTATCTTTACTTTTACTCTGATACCCACAAACCCATATATATATTTATATAAACTGGCATGTATATGTAACACACTAGAAGATAATTTCTTCTTATCTCATGATTTCTCAATTTGTGATTATTAAACAATCCTGAAAATGGATTTTTATATAGCTGATTAAAGGAATTTCACAAGAAAGTGAAGAACTGTACCAAGAACTATATTCTTATCAGTGACATCTGGAGCACGGTGCTGAAGTTGGAGAGTCATTCCAAAAGAAAGTTAGACATTGCCACCTCCCATCAGATCTCATGTCATGGGAAAGAGAAGAGGGAGTCAGCAAATGGTACCAAGGGCAAGGCAGAAGAGCTAGAACATGGAAAAGATCTGATTTAAATATTACAGTAGCAAGGTAGTCTTTAAACAGATTTTAGCTACACAAAAGACATGCAAGAGGAGTGGCTGTAGTAACATGGACACAAAACCCCCCTAATTGCTGGATTTGTTCAAACATACATCCATCATGCCAGATTCAGCCACTTTTCTCTGAATTTTCTGTTATCTGAAGTAAATGTTGATATTCTGCCTTCTCCTGTTTAATACTGCATCTCTCTAAAAACATCTTCCTGCTTTTGTTCTTCATGTTTCCTCTTTAAGGTATTTATAACAGATGTCCACCTCTTTCAGGTGAAAAACATTATGACAGAACATAATACATACATATACATAAATACTGACCTTGGGAGTTTGTGGATATTAAGATTTACAGTTCCTTAATGCCAGTTCTGACTTCAGGTTTGCTTAGAAACTCTGAGTTTCTCAGGACAACTCATTTTCATCAGTTACCACTGGGTTTAGTATTAAAGCACATTAATTCTGTTTTTGTATTAATTTCACGTACATACACTGATTTTGTGTGAAAATTATTCTTCTGAAATCAGGAAAATACGTTGTAACTTCCAGCTTTCTTAAAGAAGAAAAGTCAGGTAGAAAGAGGTTTCATAATGTATTTCCATGCCAAGGAGGGACATCAGTGCAGCAGTGTATGCAGAAATTGGAACTGGCGCATTGCTGGGATATGGCTACATGATTTCTGGTGTGCTTTAAAGCTTTGCATTTAGTTGCATCATCTGATGGTTCAGCAAGTGCTGTGAACTCATCAAGTGGTTGATGGATGTGTTTGTGAAGGCTTGGATGGATGCTTTATATGCAACAGTAAACCCACTACTGTATTCAGTGAGGTTAGGGAAGCAACCAGAAAACAAATATATAAATCTGTAGCATGAGTCTTTGTTTGGTACTGTCTGGGCTTCGTTTTGTAAGAAGCAGCTACTCAGTTGCGGAATATTCCTGTTAAACAGTCTCAGCATGGATTTAAAAACTAAAATGTTGCTCATACCATGGTCTCCTTGGGGAGTTCATGGCTCTTATTCTCTTAAAAAGTCTGCAGCTTTTATGTATAAATGGTTTTTAAATCAACCATTTGCTTCATTTTCATTGTAAATGATGGCCAGACTCTGATTTCCTTCCCCATTTTCCTAACACTGTATCCCCAGTAAGCCATCTCATCAGCCTCCAGTTTGCTCTCTGGGGTATGCATGGTTTGAAAGTAGCTGAAATCATCCTGTAAAACAAACACTTTGCCTAGCATTTTCTTATTTTAGATGCCTTTCTAAGAAAACAAGTCCCTACGTGAGAACTTGCATGGTACAAGTGCTCATCCCCATCATATGCTGACGTGCTACCAAGCCTGACTGCCAAAGATGCCTATTCAGGAGACTTCAGAAAGTGAGTAATATTAGTTGCTTAAATGCATTGAGGTCAAACTACAAGACTTCTTCTAAAACCCAGGGAAATGCCGCCGTTTAAAAGGGTGGGTAAACGTGTATTTTTACAGACACCGTTTCCTGCTGCAGCCCTGGCACTACCCAAGCAGTGGTGCCCGAGGCAAAGTGCTTCTCCTGAGGGCTAAACGCAGACAAACGTGAGGATCACAGCAGCAACCTGCAGCACTGACACGGGGCTCAGGGCACGCTAGGAAGCCTTTCCCTCCTTTCGCAGAGGGATCAACCCACCCCGTACCGATGCCGCGGGTGACCGGTGTGGAGAACAAGAACTGCAGGCAACGTGGCCTCGGGTCCTGCCTGTCGAACCCGCAGCCTCCCCGCACCGGGCAGCACAGCCAGCCGGGAGCATCGCACGCAGGTAACAGGGATTTGCGTTCCCGGGCTCTTTGTCACCCAGCACAGCCGTTGCTTCCCCATTGTTGAAAGCATCGTAGGAAATGCCCTCTTAAGCGACGGGAGAACGGCACACGCAGGCTGTGATTTCTGCCTCACCTTGTGGCGTGAATTATCACCGCACGCGGGCTGCTGATTTAAGCGGGTCTCCGCGACAAAAAGCCCGTAGGGGAAGCGTTTGCCGGGTCCGTGCGCTGCCGCGGGTCGC